GCTGCAGATCTGATAGGATGGTCCTCCGTAGAGTGTGAAGTGTATCAGCTTGAATACTTACTTCAGTGAAGAAGTTCAGAAATTATCCCCAGCAGGCCACACTGTCTACTGGGATAGGGGACCCCAGTGGGATGTGACAGATACCAAGAAGCCGCCTGCAAGCCACGAGGCCCAGTAGTTAGGGACATCCAGGTTCAGAGGACAGACTTAAGGCCTAGAGCCCTCTCTGGTCCCACCTAAGTTTTTCTTCTTTTCCATGCATTCCTCTCATTTTTAGAATACTGGTTTCTTAGAAACAGACTTCTATCCTTTGCTGCTAAGTTTTTATTATCAGAGGAAGGAAACTACAAATGAAAATAAAACATATTATTCTCTAATCATTCACTCTCTCTTGACCCATGTACAAGAGGGTGGTTCTAAAAATTCATCTCCTCTTTGCTATCTGATATACAGAGGGATGCAAAGACACATGTCTGAAAGTCTTTGAGTTCATTTCATTTAAACCACCCAGCTTTTCTACACTAACTTCAAACAATTATTTTCCTTCAGAATTTCTCTTAGCTCTCTTTTGACACAAACTCCCTATAAGGGAATTTCAACAAGTCTATGGAAAGTGGAATTAAAAGATATTTATTTTGGTACAAAAAAAAGTTGAAATACATGCATAGTTTTTTCATGATGCATATCTCTATAAAAAGATGTGTTTGTTTATTTGAAGGGCAGAGTTACAGAGAGAGGAAGAGACAGAGACATCACCCATCTAATGGTTTACTTCCCAAATGGCTGCAATGGCTGCGCCAGGACAAAGCCAGGAACCTGGAAATCCATCCAGGTCTCCCATGTGGGTGGCAGGGGCCCTAGCATGTAAGCCATCTTCCGCTGCTTTCCAGGCACATTAGCAGGCAACTGGATTGGAAGTGGAGCAACCACAACTCCAACAACAGTTTAACAAGCTTAACCAGCTGTGCCACAATGCCAGCCCCTCTTCTGCAGAACTTCAAATTTTTGGTACCAAAATAAATATCTTTTAATTCTACTTTTCAGAAATTTCTTGAAGCACACACATATATACCCATAACACCTTTTAACTTGAAAACATAAATATTAATCATAGTGAAACCTTTTTGGTTCAGATGTTGCTCCTCTTGGGTATTAGATGAGTACATTTTCTAAGACAGTGATTTTCAACTCTACACTTTAGAATCACTGGGAGAACTTTGAAAGAATACCAATGCCCAGGTCCCACCCAAGACCAAATTAGAATCTCTGGGTGTTGGGCCCAGGCATAAAATTCCTTTTGGGGGGCTGGTACTGTGGTGAAGTGGGTAAAGCCACTGTCTGCAGTGATGTCATTCCATATGGATGCCAGTTCGGATCCCGGCTGCTCCACTTCCAATCACGCTCTCTGCTGTGGCCTAGGAAAGCAGTGGAGGATAGGCCAAGTCCTTGGGCCCCTGCACCTGTGTGGGAGACCCAGAAGAAGCTTCTTTCTCCTGGCTTTGGATCAGCTTAGCTCTGGTCATTGCAGCCATCCAGGGAGTGAACCATCGGATGGAAGACCTCCCTCTCCCTCTCTCTGCCTCTGCCTCTGCCTCTCTGTAACTCTGCTTTTCAGATAAATAAATCTTTTTTTTATTACTTTTCTTTCTTGACAGGCAGAGTGGACAGTGAGAGAGAGAGACAGAGAGAAAGGTCTTGCTTTGCCGTTGGTTCACCCTCCAATGGCCGCCGCGGCTTTTCCTGGTCTCCCATGGGGTGCAGGGCCCAAGCACCTGGGCCATCCTCCACTGCACTCCCTGGCCACAGCAGAGGGCTGGCCTGGAAGAGGGGCAACCAGGACAGAATCCGGCGCCCCGACCGGGACTAGAACCCGGTGTGCCGGCGTAAATAAATCTTTTTTAAAAATTCCTTTTGGAAGTTTCTCAGGACGGGGAGGGTTCGTGGTACAGCAGGTTAAGCCACTGCTTGGTCCACTCACATCCCATTTCAGAGTGCCTAGGATTGAGTCCCTCCTCCACTTCCAAACCAGCTTCCTTCTACTGTGTAGTCTGGTAAGGCAGCAGATGATGGCTTAAGGACTTGGATCCGTTCCACACATGTAACAGACCCAGACTGTGTTCTGGGCTCCTGGCTTTGGCCTGGCACAGCCCTGGCTGTTGGGGGTATTTGGGGATTGAACCATCAAATAGAAGATCTCTGTCTCTCTGCCTTTCAAATAGATGTTTAAGCAAAAACTTTCTCAGGTGATTCTAATGTGCAGCCATAGCTGAGCAGCAGGGGTATTAGCAAGCACAAGTGTGAGTCATCAAGAGAGGTGCTGGGAGTAGGAGCGAAAAGGGAGTTGGCCCCAAATTCAGATTTTGGAATGGCCAATTCCCAGAGCAGGCCATCTCCCTGGGGTTAATCAGCTGACTTAAAAACTAGGAGCAGATACAGTGGTTACTTTAGACAATAAGGACAAGAGTCAACACACAATCACATAAATCAAATAGGAGTAAAAGAGTTTTTTGAGAAGTTGTTAGTCAAAGATGAAACGTATTCACGGTATCTTCTTTAGCACTCTATGGCCTAAGAAGGTGTATATGTGTAATATTCTTTCCCCTTCCATGCTTTCTACTGTGATTAATGCAGCAAACTCAGAGGAGAGGGAAAAGTCCTTGTTCTGTTCTTCTAAAAAGTGATTTTCTAAATGGTTGCTTGTTCTGGTGGGTCATGAAGAAGAGAGGGTTGAAGGTGCTTGGGATTCAAGACAATGGGTGAGAAACCTACGCTACCAATAAACATTTAAGGTAAAGCAAAAACAAAACCAAAAAACATGCAGGCAGCAAAAATGCAACAGGACTGGGATATGGGCATTGTCTAACGGCAAGAGCACTGCCTATGCACTTGATTCTGGCACAATATTTTGGTTACATCCAATTTTTCCATCACCATATTGCTTAAGAGAATTTCCAAATGAGCATTTAATCAGTCAAAGCAGGAAACATAATCATCATCTGGAGAGAGAGACACACACAGGTTTGGCAGAGGAGACCGTGGTTGCCTGGGATGCTGTCCATCACTTTATGGCTCCTAAATACATCTTTCTCCACTTCTGTCCATGCTTGAATATTCTATCGGGTGTTATTTTATTCAGGTACTTCTTCTAAAACAGCTGTTAGCCAAGATCTGGACTGGCACTGGGAAGACAAACCTTATCTTGGGGTGCGCTGGTGGTGAGGGCAGGCAGGGGAGAATATCTTAGTATTACACAGCGCACAGTGACCACTTAGAAGGGATTTAAAGATCAGTGTTGCAGTAATTCTAATTCACGACTTCTGCCAGATCCTGCAAAACGGCCTGGAAATCGTGCCGCCGTCTTCTGGTGGGAAATTCTACTCTGTCAAGGTCTTGGTTAGATATTAGCCATTTATCTGCATATTAATATTCTACTGACGAGTGCCTGAGCCACTGTCTTGAAATATTTAGCAATACTTCCCCAACTATCATAACTCCTCAGTGATGAACTATCGTAGAATGTCTACCTCATGACTACCTCGGGGGACTTCTCTTTGATATTACTCATTGCACCCTGGAAATGCAATGTCTCGAACACCCTGAGATTGCTTTTGAAATTCCCGAGCGTGAGGCAGACCGGCTTGCAGACCCTGCTGCATCTTCACATCTGCACTCTAAAGTCTTACTCCTCTACTCCCCGCTAGTCTATGAGCATTACCTACATTTCTAGGGTGAATGAATCCTCAGTTGTTAGCAAGAACATTTTTTTTTACCAAGATGTGTCATATTTTTAAAAAGTTTTTGACTTTCCAATTTCAAGAATTCACTATTGAGGAGACAAACCCACGAGTTTTGCTGCAGAACTACAGAAAGCTTATTTTTAATAATAATAATAATAATACAGAATTTTTTTCCTTTCGGCTAAGTCCTTTGGATTAATACAAATATTGACATTCAGTAGAAAGTTTTCCTGCAAACACAGGATTCATCTCCCTTAGGGCTGTTTCCCTCAAGCACAGCACTCATAAAGAGGAAAGCTGTCGACAACTTTTACAAAGAGGCACCCCTGACTTTGATACTCAACACAGACAGCAGGAAGCGAGCAGAGGGAAGACGAAAGGAAACCTTTGCAGAAGCAGGTGCGCTACAAAGCTCAATTAGTTCACAGGCTGAGGACGCTGCTTTTTATAAGCGGCTTTTCACATTCTTCTCCACCGGGAACAGCTTTCTGAGTCTCCCTCTCTGCTCTCCACGCCGCGAGTCCGAACCAGGTCTCATTTCTTTCTCTTCTGTTCTGGCTCGTGAGAAGGCAACTTGTCAGGGGAGGGCTATCGGGCAATGTCACCGCAGGTTTTCTACTTTCGGTGTTTCCCGATTCTCCAGAGCGCTCCCAGTAAATGCCCCGCACACTAGGGTCTCTCTATGAACCCGTCTGAGAGTCGATTTCAGGCCCGTTAGGGGCTGCGTGTAGCCGCCGGAGTGCACCTACGCAGAATTCCGCCTTTGATCTCAGGTCGTTTGTCCACCCCCGAATGGACCCCCGGTTAAAACTGCCCGCAGAGTGGAACAAAGCCAGTTATCCGCTAACAACTTCCCAGGGGGTGGACCGACGCCCGCGACCCTCCCAGGAGGTCATTGCCCAGGAACGGCCAGGGCGCCGGCGGCGGCGGCGCGTCCCCGCTAACCCACTGGCTGTCGACGGAGGGAAAAGTTAACTTTCTCGGCTCCCCGCCTGTCTCCTAAGCCCGTGGCGTGGACGCCGGACCCGCTCTGGGCGCGAGGCCTCAAAACCCCAGAACCGGCAAGACAGGTGCGGAGGGCGCGCCGCGGAGCACGAACGCACCTGCAGGAGGGCCCCGCGCCGGGGGCTCCGGGTTTGAGGTCAGCCTGCGGTGTGACGCGCGGTCTCCTCCCACCCCGCGCGGGCGCTCCAACGCCGAGGCCGCCACCCACCCTCCGGAGCCCCGCAGGCGGCAGGCGTCGTTCGCGCGGGGCGTCCTTACCTTGGGGTTGGTCAGGAGCTGGTGCTCGTCGCTGTGCAGCAGCGCCCTGGAGTTGGACTCGGAGTTGTTCACGTAGACCTGGACGCAGGGGTACTGCGAGGTGCCCCTGCAGTCGGCGCCACAGGTGAACGTGCACTCGAACACCTCGCCGATCTGCTGCACCGACAGCACCGTGCAGTTGGCCGCCGTGGCTTGCAGATCCTGCAGCGCGGGACTGAGCCAGCAGAAGCCGAAGATGAAGAGCGACACGACGCCCGAGATGATGAGAAACAAGCCGAGCCGGATGCTCTTGTCCTCGGCTTCCGTGTACTCGTAAGCCACCCGGAGCTTCGCCATCGCCCCCCACTCTCGGCGGCTGGCGCGCTCCCCCCGCCCCCTCCCGCCCCCGGCGCCCAGCCCGACTGCCTCGGGCGGGAGGAGCCGCCGCCGCCGCCGCCGCCGCGCGACAGCAGGGGAGTGGGCGGCGAGGGGGAGCGCGCGAGAACAAAGGGGCCGAGCCCGGCGACGCCCCCGGCGGCGGCGGCGGCGGCGGCAGCCCCCCCCCCCCCCGCCCCGCGCGCCCCCAGCCGCCGCGCCGGCTCGGCGGAGCAGCCGCCGCTTCAGAGCCGCCTGCACCCTCGGGCGCGGGGAGCGCACGGACCGCTCCAGCCTCCAGCGCCCCCTGCCAGCCTCCACGCCCGCGCTCTCCCCGCCTCCCCCACCCCGCCTCCTCCCGCCGAGCGTCTCCCGGTCTCCATGGCCCGCTGGCCGCTGCTGCGCGCACCCGCCGGGCAGCGGCCGCCACGGTCCGAACGGCTGGGCAGGGGCGAGCCCCAGGGCTCCCCCCGGTGCGGGAGGCTGCTCCGCCCCTCCGCCGCCGCCGCCGCCCGGAGCCCTCGGGCCCCGCCCCGCCCCGCCCCGGTGCGTCCCCGGCGGGCGAGGGGGCGAGCGCGCACCGGGGACGGCGACGGCGGGTGTTCCGAGGCCGCGCTGAATCCCGCCGGAGAGATGTCCGAGTTGAGGATTTGGGATCAAAACAGCTTAACCGGGGTGAAAGTTTAAAAGAAAAAAAAATGGGAAAACAGAGGGGAAGGGGGAAGAGCCAGTGGAGCGGCGGGAATCTTGAACTGCACACGCGGATTGGCCGGTCGCCTGGCAGCTGGCGCCCGGGGAAGCGGGCAGGGGTGGCCGGGCCGAGCGCACCGACGTGGAAGCCCACGGGCGAGCGGAGGTCCTGGCTAGGGAGGGCAGGGGCTGGCGGCGCGGCGAGGAGTGTGGCCCGGCTGCGCCCACGCTGCCGCCCCCCGGGTCCCTGCGAGCGCGGGCACCGCTCCGTCCCGGCATTCGGCGCAGGCCCGCATCCCCGGCGCGGACGGCGAGATCGGACCGGCACAGACGCAGGCAGGTGGAGTCTGCTGTGGAGGCATCGCGCGGGGCGCCGGCGAGACGGGCGAAACTTGCTTCCGGGGCCTCGACCGAACCTCGCGGCAGCAGGGTCCGCCTCGTGAGATTTGTCCTCCTGGCTGGGGCTGGCTGAAGAGGGTCCGAAGGAAACGGGGCGTGAGGCGGGCAGGCGAAGAGACGCCGCTGCCCCGATCAGCACCGCCCCCTGGCTTCGCAGCTCCCGAGGACAGACCCCTTCGGCGGTTTCCCCGCTCGGGAGCCTCGCCGCCCGGGGGCCCTGCAGTGGCCCGCGGTTCCTCATGAGCTTCCCAGGATCGCTGCGCACACCCGCCTGGGCCAGGTACCGCTCCTCCGGGCTCTGTGCTCTCCCAGCTCTTCCCGCGGCTCCCTGCACCCCCACCCCGCCGGTGCACCGTCAGGCTCAAGTCCTTGTTTTTGTTCCAACATTGCCTTTTCTCAAACCGTACTTCTATCAAACTTGACTACTACTACATCTTGAAATTATCATCAAGATGCTCACTTCGTGGCAAAGCATACATAAGTGTATTTTTTTTTGTTGTGTTTTGCAAGTCCCAGATGAGCAAAAACTAAATTGTGCTCCTGATGAAGACGTGGGGCTCTTGTCTTCTCTGTCCTGGGCTTCAGATGTTGCTTAACTGGTATCGCGTACCTTTCGCCTGCGGTTCTGCTCAAGTACCGTTCCTTTCTGTCTTTATGTGAGAGGCAATGCGGATTTCCAAGCAGTGGACACATCAACTTGAGTTGCTGGGAGACCCTGCTTTTTGTTTTCTTTCGTTTGTTTTTTTGTTTTTCAAGAAGATGACTGGGTTAGGAAAACGTCGAACTGAGGAAGACGCTTTGTACTTTGCTACCGTCCCGTTTTTACCCAGTGACTGCCATCATTCCCAGCCTTTTCTGTTGGTGCGAGACCAATGTGCGTAATTTCAGTAGCTGAAAGCAAAGTGAGTTGCTAGTTAGAACAGCTTACCCCGTGGTCACAGGCTTCACCCTGCGGCAGCAAAGCAAAGCCCCCTCACAGACTCCAGGCAGCTATTGCAGCTGGGGTTGCACAGGGGCGGAACCTGAGCCAGGAATTCATTCCCATTCTTGCTCATGGATGGGGGAGGGGCCTAGAACTACTTGAAGGAGTATTATTGAGTTTTCAGTGATTTCAGAGCTTAAAGTGTTCTGTCTCAAAATTCTTCTCAGATGCTCTTCCAAGACTAGGAACATCAGAAAATCAGAAAATTCATTTGCAGTTTAACGTAAGTTCTTTAGAACCATTGAATCAATTTGTTTGTAGTTTGGCATGTAATCATTTCTTTACAATTATTTGAAGAAACGAGTGCTACCCGGCCTTCTGTTCTTTAAACATTTACTTTCCTCCTATTTTAAATTAGTTCACTTCTCAAACATATCAAAAGATTTCACAAATGTGATCAATTTATTTTACCCTTAATGGAACTGAGTGCTTATTAGTTTCCTTTACTTAAAAAGTTTTTTTGAAAGGGTTAGAGAGAGAGGGAGGAAAAGGGGCCAGCGGTGTGGCATAAGGGATAAAGCCGCCTTTGACAGTGCCAACTTCTCATATGGGCTCCAGTTCTAGTCCTGGCTGCTCCACTTCCGATCCAGCTCTGCTATGGCCTGGGAAAGCAGCAGCAGATCAGCAAAGATGGCCCAAGTCCCTGGGCCCCTGCACCCCCGTGGGAGACCCAGAAGAAGCTCTTGGCTCCTGGCTTCGGATTGGCACAGCTCCGGCCATTGCGGCCATCTGAGGAGTGAACCAGCGGATGGAAGACCTCTCTCTCTCTCTCTCTCTCTCTCTCTCTCTCTCTCTCTGCTTTCCTTCTCTCTGTGTGTAACTCTGACTTTCAAGTAAATAAATCTTTAAAAAAAAGAGAGAGCGAGAGAGGGAGAAAGATTGTCCATCCACTGGTTCACTCCCTAGATAGCCTGAAAGGCCTGGGCTGGGCTAGGCCGAAGCCAGGAGCTGGGAACTTCTTCCAGGTCTCCTGCATGGGTACAGGGGCCCAAGCACTGGGCATCCTCTTCTGCTTTCCCAGGTGCTGTAGCAGGGAGCTGGATCAAAAGTGGAGCAGGCGGGACTGGAACTAGCTCCCATATGGGAGGCTGGCATCCCAGACAGCAGCTTAACCTGCTGTGCCACAATGCTGGCCCCAGTTTCATTTACTTGAAGTGAGGCTGTCTTCCCACATTCAAGCACGACTGGCTATGTCCACCCCTCAATTTCAGAGTGGGTCACCATTGATTCTCTGGTCAGAATGGTGGTAGAACCCCAGAGACCTCAGAAGTGCTGAGCTCCTGAGGCTGCTGAGCACCTGCTGATCCCTGGAGGGCAAAGAAAAAGCAGCTAATTCTCTGAATGCTGTTCCACCAGTTACAATATAACACCAAAAACACTCGAACCAGACTGACATTTGACGGACATCACTGTCTGCAGCCTTTTTCAGGAGACTCACAGCTTGATGAAATCCCACCTAAAAGGAAAATAAAATCGATACAAACACAGACATTAAAGCCACTCTCATTTATAATTTATTTTCATGATCAATATTCTTAAAAAAACCCTGTGGCAGATGTTAACAGTTGGAAAACACAATTTAATATGTACATATAGTTTTATGAAGAGTCTGAAAAAGTGTAAGGAGAGCTTTTATAAACTTTAAAACTTGGCACATTTTGAATTTTTTTGATAATAAAATTTTAAATACTTAGATGGCTAAAATACAAAAGTGAGAAAATTAATATTATAGACTTTTTCATTAAATTCATTCTTTGTGTTAAGTTTTAAACACTCGCACCTTGGATAATTAGGTAAGAATAAACATAATGAAAGTATCTACACTAGAAATTTTTTTTTGGTTTAGCAAAAAATTGTACGTTTTGTTAATGTTACAGAAAATGGACTTTCCTTTTTATTTGGTCTTCAAACTGAAAGTTACACTTTCAACTTTACCAAAGTTTAGTTCACTGATAACAAGAAATTAACTTTCTTGCCATGCTGTATTGTGAATATTATATATATTCACCATATATATACATTATATATATATTCGTCCATCCACTGGTTCACTCCCTAGACAGCCTGAAAGGCCTGGGCTGGGCTAGGCCAAAGCCAGCAATTTTAAGTTCAAATGAATTTCCTTTGTGACTACCATTGTTTTGGATTATTATTTTTTCCTGCCCAAAAGTTCATGTATACTAAGCATGTAATTATTACTGGAAACATTACTTATTATACTTCTAGGTATTTATAATCATTTATTACAACAGGAAGGGATCTTAATTATCGCTGAACTCAACATTAATGAAGAAGCTCCCAGACTTTGCATTTTGTTTGAAATAGTACTAGTTCAAATTTATGTTTGTATACAGACTTTATGTTTTCAATAGAGGAAAACACAAAACACAGATGATCACTTCCTACTAGTGGGTTGTCAGTATCATACTAGTAGGACTTCCTGGAGTTCCTAAATCCTCACCACCTGTTACTCTTTCCCATTACTGAAGTGAAATTCTGTAAGAGATACACAAACATCTATATGGTAAAAGGGATAGAAGCCAGGGGGACATTGATCCCTTTTAATAGTGAATAGTTTGACAAGAAGGAAACAATTCATGTTACATTGTTTCCTCTTCTTCCACAGGAAAGGGTTGGACTAAAATCTCCTCAACCTTCTAGGATCTACTTCCAATTTGATCTTGTTCTTGTCATGTCCTTCAAAAATTTTAGTATTGCTATGTGACAGTATCTAATGAAGTTAAAAAATCTTTTCAAATGATTCTGGAATTCTTAGCATTATGGTTAACAGGGAGAGCACCTGTCTTGGGAGAAATGGACCTACACCTCTGAGCACACATTATAAACTACGTTATTTACAAATGTCCTAATTTAATCTTCCAACATTAAGAAGGAACAAAATTCAGAGATTAATTTTTTCAAGGCTTCACACATACTTAGTCCTGTTATAAGGTTCATTATTTTTCTACTATGCTACCTCTTAAGAAATTTCTGTATTAAAGTAAAAAACAGAAGTGTAGGTAATGCCAAAAGCTTTACAAATGGATTTAAGTGTGTTTACATCCTCAAATCAAAATCCCTATAGTGAAACCTATGAAGGGTACAGCGATTAGATGATGAAGTTAAAGACTTAATTTCATCCGTCTGTTTAATTTTACTCTGAATCACATGTCTTAAAATAGCTCTGGGAGCCTGCGCTGTGGCACCCGCATCCTATATGGACACCAGTTCATGTCCCAGATGCTCCACTTCTAATCCAGGTCCCTGCTAATGTGCCTGGGAAAGCAGCAGCAGATGGCCCAATGCTTTGGGCCCCTGCACCCCCTTGAGACCTGGAAGCAGCTCCTGGCTCCTGGCTTTGAACCATCCCAGCTCTGGCTGTTGCAGCAGCCAATTGGGGGTGTGAACCTGCGGATGGAAGATGTCTCTCCCTAACTCTGCCTTTCAAATAAATCAATCTTAAAACACACACACACAAACACCACCCAGGCTTAAAAATAGCTCTTTTTCAGTCGTACAGCATAGTACTATTTTACATAAGACAAGCAGGTTGTGTAGTACTTAGGTTTCTAGTGGCTGGTTAGATACTCAAGCTAGACAAATTAGAAATAAATATGGCTAACAACTAGATGTTAACAAGTCACTAAATGATTTTATGGAGGAAGGAAACCCTATCCTGTTCATGAAGGGAATCAACTGAAAGGTCTAACAGCTTACCTTACTTTTGTTGGGACATGTCCATGATGGAAAAGTCCTAATACACATGATTTTTAGATTTTTATGAAATTATGAAGCAGTACTTATTGAAATCAAAATCTAGCTTGCTGTGATATTCACAGAAAAATATTTATTTGGCATTTATTCTGCCCTATGTTGTTAGCATAAAGGTACTTGTAAGGACAGATGACTCTACTTCAGATGTGGGAAGACAGCAATCACAAAGGCCTACCAACCCTCTTCTTAAACTCACCTTCCCGGGCCTGACGCTGTGGCTCACTTGGCTAATCCTCCGCCTGTGGTGCTGGTATCCCATATGGGCACCGGGTTCTAGTCCCAGTTGCTCCTCTTCCAGTCCAGCTCTCTGCTATGGCCCGGGAAGGCAGTGGAGGATGGCCCAAGTGCTTGGGCCCTGCACCCGCATGGGAAACCAGGAGGAAGGACCTGGCTCCTGGCTTCAGATCGGCACAGCGCCGGCCGCAGCAGCCATTTGCGGGGTGAACCAACGGAAGGAAGACCTCTCTGTCTCTCTCTCTCACTGTAACTCTACCTGTCAAATAAATAAATAAATATCTTAAAAAAAAAAAAAACAAACTCACCTTCCCATTTCTTCAGTATTCTCTTTTGCTTGGCTTTGGGAAACTGAAGTCTTACTCCTATCCCCTCCCCACCAAAAGTTAAGAAAAATAGGCAATTCCAAGTAGGGAAGAATACTCAACTTCATTCTCTAAAAGTCTGCACTTTTCTTTTCCATGCTATCCAATTTACAAACGATTCTAGGATAATGGATTTTGTTGTCTATTAACAATGTTATTGGAAATGCATAGAGAAGTCCAGGAAATTATTTTGGCTCTCTTTCATTACAGAGAATCTGGATTCCAAACAGTGATATGCAAGTCAACAATATAATTTTCTAAGGTTTATTTTATATTTGAAAAGCAGAATGACAGAGTGGGAGACAAAGAAATACTCCATCTGCTGCTTCGCTCACCATATGACCACAATGGCCAGGGCTGGACCAGGTGGAAGCCAGGAGCCTGGAACTCCATCTGGGTATCCTACGTGGGTGGCAGGGGCCCAGGGTCTTGGGCTATCTTCTGCTGCTTTCCCAGACACATTAGCAGGGAGCTAGATCCAAAGCAGGGTAGCAGGGACTCAAGCCAGCAGTCTTAGGGTATGCCAACATTACAAGCAGCAGTTTAACCCGCTGTGCCACAATGCAGGCCCCATTCAAATTTTAGATCTATTAAATTACTGAAAGTGAACTGAAAACAGTACGAGGCACCAGCACTTGGCGTTAAGCTGTTAAGACACTGGTTGAAACACCCACATACCATACCACAGTGCCTGGATCTGAGTTCCAGGGCTCAACTCAGGGTTTCAGTTTTGTGCTAATGCACAC